TTACACGCGAAAGAGTGATGAGGAGAGAAAGGGAGCTCTCAGCCACGGAGTGGGTTAAATACAGAATTCTTCCAGGAACACCATTTTATTTTTTAAACTGTGCCCTTCATGTTTTCTTCATGCCCTTTTGGTTGTGCGTGATCAACGAGAGTATTTGTATGATGGAGAATCACTTGGCTCATGTGCTTAGTGCACAAGAGCTCCCGGAACTGTTAGCTGCATACATCAGCCTTAAAGTGGAGAATGTTTCAGTGGGTTTCCAAGTCTTTATTTCAAATTATAAATACACAACTGTGATCTTCTACTTGCAAATTAAATCCAGTTCTCATTTATGTTGTGATACTCAAAAAAACCTCAAAGTCCTCTTGACATGAAAATCATTATTAAAAAAACAATATACCGTATGTTAATCCATTACTGTGTAGGCAGCTGTCTGCTTCCTCTTATGCTATTTTCTAACTTTATTGATCTTACATTATCATTCATCCTGTTACAGCATTTATTACAGCTTCAAAGAAAGATTTGACAAATCATGGCAGATTAGTGAACCTGTATGCCATGTAATTGCTAGTGTAATGCTGAAAAATCCATTAAATAGTTTGGAGTTGAGGTTAGATTTATTTCTTCTATTTGAAAATAATTGCATTTAAAATACATAGGAACATATAGATTTAGTTAAGCTTTGGGTTTGTTTTGGTTTTTTTTTAGTACTCTACACAAAATTTAGCTGTTTTGGTGGTAAAAAAACTTCTACTCAAAAAAATTTCATGCCGAAGTTTGTTGAACAGTACAAGAAAGCAGCTCTTCCTTTGGCTCAGAGACCTGTGAAAGCTGTTCGTGCCCCATAGCATATAAACATGATTCAGATTGGAGGTGGAACTAACAATGGTGAGCAGTTTATTTCGGCAGTTAAGCCACTAGCACTTAACTGTTTATGGTTTTGGATTTCTGTGCAAAAGCAAAATTGTTCTTTGAGCCATTTTTCATTATTCTGACATAGGAATAATAAATATCCCCCAAATCTTTGTAAAAGTTGACTTTGCTTTTAAATTGTGCTGTTTGTACAAAGCTTCATACTGTAAGAGGAAAGATAAGTACAACACAAAAAAACTTAGCTAGTTCTGATAGTGTAAACTGACACCAGAAATGAAAAGAGATGGTCATAAGACCACAGCCTGTTCTGAGTTTGCATTTCAGTCTTAATTAAATACTAGATAAGCTGCAGAAGTGGGATAGAGAAGTTGGCAACACTGGATTTTATTTAAATGTCTAAAAAGATGCAATTTCTTGAGTTTTTTCTCTACTGCTAGATACTCATTCCCTCATTTTGGGGAAGCTTTTAATGGTGTGAGTACTACAGGGAGTATTGAGAGAATGTTTTCCCCCTTTTTAATATAAAAATAAAAATGACTGAATATTTCTGCAGCCTTCTATCACAGATGGCTAAAATTGAATAATAGACCCTGCAGCTGCAGGGGAGACAGAATAAACAACATGAGCATTATTTCCATAGGTAATGGATCTAAAAACTTTTCAAAACCTGCTGCTTGCATTATTACTTAAATCAGGTGGGTTTCTATTAGTGGCCCAGGTTTGTTAATTGTCCTTGTTGAAGACACTCTTAGTCTTTTCAAGTTTAAATTCCCTCTTGAGAATTCTACAGCTGTGAATAATGTTTACTGAGTCACACATTAAACTTTTTTTGTTAGTGTTTGCTTTTTGAAAGTAAATACTTACTAATAGTACCTCAGTTTTAATTACTATTGTGCTTTTTTGTGTATTGAAGATAAATACGTAGCAATGTTTTCATTTCTGCTGTGGCTGAAACTGGAAATCCTTTGGTTAATACTCACTGTGAATTCTGCTTTTTTGCTTACAAACAGTTGTTATCTGAAGCAGCTCCAGGAAAAGTGCGCATTGTTCATGGAGATATCCTGACATACCAGATGCAGAAGGCTTTTCCAAAGCACTTAAAAAAGAACTGGGAGGATGGTTAGTATTTGGATTTGGTTTATTTTATCTTTAAGGGTTCTTACATCTTAAGTGTGGTGGTATAATTGGAGTTCACCCAGTGCAGGTGTTACTTTCTTCTGGTACATTTTGAAGGTGAGAAGAGAGAGATGAGCTTGCTTTCTTCCTTCCTAGAAGGAAACAGAATCCTCTTCTAAGACAGAACAGTGGAACTGGTATGTCATTCGTCTTAGTCAACAGTGAGGAGCTTTCCAGTGATTAATCTTTGAATGTCTTGACTGTACAATAATGACTCTTGGAAAGTATAAAAGCAAATAATTTTTCTGTATTATTGTCATATGAAAATCCGAAAGACTGGTGCATTTTAGAAAGATACTTGGCCATCTCTGATATGTGTGTGATATCACAAATATTCTAGAAATATCACAGCCTAAAAAGTACGTAAGTGTGCCAGAAAACCACATTAATATTATCTGAATTAATATTATCATAGAATCAACTAGGTTGGAGAAGACCTTTAAGATCATCAAGTCCAACCATTAAATGCATGTTATTAAGTGCTGTAGTGTCTAAGAAACAATACACTTGCATTTTTTTTGCCTGCTTCTATTGGACTGCTGGTTAGACAGAAGGATCCCCACTAATGAAATGCCTGCTTTGTGTTTGTACAACACACATACACTGATCAGATCCATAATTGAACAATACGTATCACTTAATGGTTAAGTCTTGTACTTACCGTAAACCCTTCTGGTTTCAGAGGACTCTGCACAGAAGGAGATCTCTGCCCAATTTGATCTAGGTGATTGTTTTGGGGATTATGAAGACTTGGTGAACTACACTGTTGTAGTTTTGCCGTTGTTACAGTTTTGCTATTCTGGAGTAGCTCAGCTGAAATCTGCTGATGAGCTGAAAGTCAGCTGAAAGCTACTGATCTATTCAAATGTAAATGAGAACCAAACCTAACCACTTTTTCCAAGTAATTACTGAGAATAGTAACACAGTTTTGTCAGTGTAAGACAAATGTAAATGGAAAGGCATAATTCTGGTGAGGCACGATAAAAATTATTTTCATATTTTAAGTCTAGGTTGATATGCACATATCTTTCTTACATGTTCTTTCATGGCAGAATCTCATCCAAAACTCTTTGACAGTTGTTTTTCTTCCATCAAATGTTAACAGAGCCACCAGATATACATATCATTGGGAATCTCCCCTTCAGTGTTTCAACTCCTCTGATCATCAAATGGCTTGAAAATGTTTCCAAAAAGGATGGACCTTTTATTTATGGCAGGACACAGATGACATTGACTTTTCAGAAGGAAGTTGCAGAGGTAAGATATTAGTGTTTTTCCAAAATTTTACAGAAGCTAAATGGAACAAAAATTTGCAGCCTCTTGTTTAAAAGTACAAACACAATCTTAGATGGCTTTAAAAAAAGAGGAAAGAGTTAGTTTGTTTTTTAGTTTGTGTGGCTATAAATTATGAATTTTAATGTTGAATTAATCATCTGCTCTGATCTTTTCATAGCACAATATTTTTTTTATTTTTTTTTTCGTATGGAGGGAGAGATTTCCTTGAGGTACTTAATCTGTTATTTTATGAAGTCTTGATTTCTTCAGCATGAATAGATACCATAGCACTTTTCTGTTTTTAACTATCTTCTCTCTCGGTCATTCATGCACCATTTCATCAGTCTATTTATCCTTACCTTTCAATCCTCTCAAGAAATACACTGATACTTATTTCCTTTGCTCTCTTAATTAAAAGGCTTTTTTTTTTTTAAAAAAAGACAAAGACACCTTCCTTGAAATAAGAACGGAAGGTTAGCATTATTTCCAGTTGTGATCAAACACTTAACACACAGAAATGGAAGCTGGCTCTTGCTTTTTTGAACAAGACTTGGTAATCAGAATTATTAATAGATTGTTGCCAATCTTATATGGTAGGAAGGCGTCTTTTGAGTTCTGTCAGAGCAAGTCCAAGAGCAAACTGTGTCAATAGTTAGATTCTCAAAGAAAGCTAAACTAATCAGCTATGTAGTATCATTAATTCTAGATCAGCTGATATTCCTCAGTGCTTTCAGATTTTAAGTTTATTTCTGTTGCCATTCGATGAAATGTATCGTATTACAAAGGCTGGAAGACTTTCTGCTTTGTATTTATGAAAGCAGTATGGCTTCTTACCAGCATCTCACTTCCTTAAAAGGAAAAAGGAATTGCATATCAGTCTGAAAACTGAATTTCCACGTAATTAGTCCAGTGTTTGTAAATATCAGGGGTTTGGGGTTTTTTTTTCCCTTAAATTAGTAATAAGTATATATGCAAGTGGCATGTCTGCAGTCATTTTTGGGGGTCACAGAAAACCATATTGTGCTGTCATTACTCTAGCCCTGCAATCAACATTCAAGACAAGTACTGATATTTCCAGTAGATGGCTCTAGAGAACACCAGGGACAAACATGAAATAAGCTGGGTTTCTTAATTCAGTTCTGAGCTTATGTGGTTTCAGGTATTAAAAAAACCCATATCTCTTTTCCAGAAGAACTTCATGTCATTTGAGATCATATCTTGTTGCAAAATATGTCTAATGGACTATGATGTAAACTGCAGAGTGATAATGGGGAAGATGCAAAGTTTTGTGACAGCAGTGAAAAAATTGGCCTCGCACTGAGTGAGAGGATAAGTGCACTCAGTACTTTATATAGCTGTAACCAGCTGCATACGCCACTGGTGACATGCAGATTATAGTGCTTCTGCACCCAGCATAGCTCAGTGAGATCTAAAATACCATGCACTCTTTAAGTTCCTTGTACTTAGAATGCTGAGAAGTTAGAAATAGTAGGAAACTGAGTATGTTGTTCAAGGTAATGCAGTCAGTGATGAATCAGTGTTAATTACTGAGTTTACATTCTGGGATTTCTTGATTCTTTTTCTTACGTCTATTTAAACTCCGATCTTCCACCGAAGACTGAATTGTTCAAGGTTTCTGGTTTGTGTTTCCATAATTGATTTGACATCATGAAAAACTCCTTTGAGAGAAGCTATTTTGGTTTATGGTTAGGAGGAAGGATGGTAATCAAAATCTCAGTCTTTTTCTGGCCCTCTGGAGTTGCTTAAGTTAATAATTGTAATTTGACATAAACATATTCACTACAAGGAAATAGAGAACAGTGTCATGCAGATAAGTAAGTAAGTTGCTGCTGATATTTTATATGTCTGTGGCTTGATATTCTTGAAGGGAAAATGTATTATACCCAGGAGTTTGATGTCCTCACTCATGTTTCTAAGCTTAGAGTGTAAATATCAAAAAAGTCTCAGTGTATATGCCATAAACTTGGCAGAAGGGTAGGAAGCTGTGATGGAATGAAACCATGTGCTTTATCATCAGTTAGGATAACATGATGTTAACAGTAAGAAAATAGTGTTGTTTGTGGTCAAGCTTGTTTTTACTAGTATAACATTAGAAAATACCTTTGCCCTTGTTGCAGTGGTAGTTTTCTGCTCTTCTGTTTCCTTATAGCAGGTATACTGGCGTGAGTTATGTCAGTACAGACCACTCTGTTCTGATGTGATTTGATTAAATTGATTAGAACTTGGTTGATGAGGAACCAGCAGTTATGTTATATGCTGAATTCTGAGACCAGTTAAGGACCATAAGGCCAGATATTCACAGCAGTAAAAATGGCACTTTTAAGTGTTGAGCAGATAATTTTTGTCTCCCTGTAGTTTAAATTTGTAAATTGGTTAGTTACTTCGTGGATAAGAATTTTTACCTTGCCCCAAATTCCTCAGACCCAGCCCTTGGTCGCCTCAGTTTGCATCCAGAGCCATGTACTTCCTGGCCCGCTTCCATTAGAATTAGTCATATTTTAGTTTAACTATAAGATTGTTGTCAGGCTCTAATTTTGAGTAAAACTGGGCAGAGAATAGTTTGCCTGAACTGCTCTGCCAAAATGATCTGCAGGCTGGGAGGTGGGGTGCTAAACTGTTAGATACCTAGAAGACAGATACGTGGAACACTTAAATCATTTTGTATCTAACACTGCTGTCTATTTAGAACGCTAGGCAAAAGGTGCTTATAAAGTGGAAAACAATTCAGATTTTTTAGCAGCAAACTGAAGAGAAATTACTCTTATGTTTTCGTAACTGATACAGGTTGGATATAAATACGTTCTAAAATAAAACAGTTGTTTTGCAGAGAGTGGTTTGTGTACTAAAATGTATTTAATATTCCTTTACATGGTCAGCTTTGACAGTCTAATCCTTCAGATAGGTTAATTACTGTGACAGATTTTGTAGATTCTTTGGTAATGGGTTTTTAATACATATTTATGAAAAGTGCAATTGTATGGTATAGCTTACTGAAGAACAAAACAAATAGTCGTTCCTGAAGTTAGTTAGTGGTTGATAGTGAGCAGCATTAAAAGAGACGTCAAGTACTACTGGATTGTATTAAGCTTCAGAATCTTTGTTGTGCCTCATGCCTTGCAAAAAATTTTAATAGCAAAATGTTACTCAGCTGAACTTCAAGTGCAGTTTCAGATGCTATCTGTGTTTTAAATGTAGGAACAAACTAGATTTTGAGAACTGAGGAGAAAAAAAACCCTAGAAAAATAGGACATTACAGAAGTATGAGGACAAAGTTTTTAGCAGGGCCTGTTACAACAGGACAAAGGTTTTAAACTACAAAAAGGACAGATTTAAACTATGTAAGGAAGAGGTTTTTACAATGAAAGTGGTGAAACACTGTAACAGGTTGCCCAGAGAGGTGTAGATACCCCATACCTGGAAGCATTCAAGGTCAAGTTGAATGGGGCTCTGAGCAACCTGATCTAGTTGAGGATGTTCCTGCTTATTGCAGGGGGGTTGAACTAGATGACCTTTAAAGGTCCCTTCAAACCCAAACGATTCTACTCTCAGCATTTTTGTGTTCCTGGAGCAGATCATATACAAGTATGTTCTTGCTGATGGGGGTTTGAAGTTGTATAAGATGTTACTGCACAGAGGTGGATGTAAAGTTATCTGTTCTGCAGCTGAGAAGAAGGAACTAACTGCCTGAGGCTTGTTACATGGGTTTTGTGGAAAGACTTGCTTTTTTGAATTGGCATTGGAAGCACTACAAGCATTGTCATTAGGTCTGCTTCATTTCCGCTTCAGAGGTTAAGGAAGTGTGTATCTGATTGCACTGTTCAACTTTGCACGCTGGTTTGGTTTTTGTTTTGATTTTGTTTTGGTTTTGTTTTTTTCTGAGAATGATAATGGTGGTCGATAGAGAGGTGTGTTGTTTGTTTTTTTTTCTAATAGGTTTCCCCTGAAACAATGATGATGGTAGTTTTAAATGCTGATGTAAGCAAAAAGAAGCACCAAGCATTCTTTCTGAAAACTCATTGAGAAGTGTTTTATTTGCTCTATGCTGATACTAAAACAGCCTTTCAGGAGAGTTGGTTTTAAAAAGCAAAATACTTCAGCAATACATTTAATTTTACTTTTCAGGGATATTTTTAATAAGCATGGCAGCATTTCATCAGTAGGCTTTTCATCTGAAGCTACATGATGTACCGATATAATCAGATATGCAAATTGCTTTTTTTTTTTTAATTAAGGTAGTGGTAAATAAGAACAGAAATCTTGAAAATTCTATTTCTGAGTAGTTACTGTAATGTCTTTTACTATTTGAGACTGTTTTACTGGATGGTTTTTGGTTTAAATCTTGTTTGTGCTGGCGGAATACACAGAACATGTTTCTTGCCAGGTTGTGAAAGTGTAGACAACCTTTGTCCAGGCTGCTGCTTTGATAATCTTTGTAAGAAACTTCTTAGGAAAACCAGAGGAACGCTAAAATGAGCATATTAAGTATTAAATGCTCTTACTGTTTGGTATGCTAAATTTATGTAAAGTAGATGCAGCTTCCTTGCATATATTGTAAGTGTAGACCAGTTAATAATGAAGAAATTCTGTTTTCTGTCTGATTCTGAGTTTATGGAGCTTTGTTTCATCTTGAAAGAGGAAAAAACCAGTATTATTTGATACAGAAACAGTGAGGAAAAAAGGACACGAGAATACCATCAGCTGGCGTTACGTTTGTTTTGAATTCTGCAGTCAGAATAGTTTTAGTTCTGCAGAATTTTAAGGAGCATCTTTTCATGTGCATTTGATTGCAGGACTTGGGTTGTAAATTAGCATGGTATTTTAGTGAAATGCTGCTATGCTGGAGGAGAAAAAATCTAGACTAACTGGGCATAAACTTTGAGTTCTTAACAATTAATTATTTGTTTTAATTTGTCTTTGACTGTAATTATACTGAAAATTAAGCTTTATGTAACTGACCACATAGTCAATTCAGTTTCACTGATTTACATGTTTTGATTCTTCAACAGAGGCTTACAGCTAATCAAGGAGGTAAGCAACGTAGCAGACTCTCCATCATGTCTCAGCATCTCTGCACTGTTGAAAACTGTTTCATGATTCCAGGTGAATCTTTTGTTCCAAAGCCAGAGGTAAGTTTTGATGTATTTCTTTTGGGGCTTTTTTGTTAATTTGTTAGTCAAGCAATATATCTGATTTTGAGTAAGAAACACTGGTACTCTACTTCATCTCCATACTATGAAGTGGTGTGATATGCCTGTAAACAAAACATACTCACTTCAAGAAGGTGCTTTTCTTTTTGGTTACTCAGAACTTGGCTTTGCCCTTCAAACTTGTCTGCAAGATCAGCAAACTTCTTTGGGTGCTTCTGAAAAGCTGATAAGGATTTAATGATACGATATTTTTCTAGGATTGTAGCATCTTTGGAAAGCCTGTAGTTTTACAGTTTGCATTTATAAACGGTTTGGGAATTATGCCTAGGAAAGTTGATGAGTCTTTTGAAAGACCCTGATAAATAAAAGCTTTTCATTTGTCATCTTTGTCAAAGATCTCTAATTTTACCATGTCTATAATCTTTACATTCCACCCTACTCATCTTTAACATATTTAACTCCCTCCTATTCACTATAGCACTTTGTCAGTTACATCCCACTGCCTATTTAAAAAAGTAACGCTCTTTTCTCCCTCTTATCTGTTCTTGATTAAAGAACAGTCTTTTTGCTGTCCTCTTATCTACTGTTTTTTATTAATAGCCATTATGATTACAGGACTCAAAAATTAATAAATTGTGTTTTGGGCAAGAATTTATTTTATTTATCTATTGATTTTGTTATGTAAAAAATATGTGCCTGGCACTAAGTGGGTCAGTTCTCCCTGAATGCACATAGAAATGTACTGTTCTGTTTCAGAAATGAACTTGCAGCTTCTGAAAGTTCCTCTTAAACTCGTTGATTCAGCTTATCAATAAATCTCACTTCTCCCTTATCACAGTTAATCTTCTGGTCTTTTTACTCTTTCGGCTTATCTCTTGAGAACCTTTGAAAGGTTATTCTCTCTCTTTTTATCACAGTAAATTATAAGGCCTCGATCTCGGCATGTTCCGATGACAATTTAAAATCTGTTAGTATTTTTTGAGCAAGTACTTGATCAAGTGTATTCAGTTATTAGTTGTAACAGCAGTCTGTTGTGAAGAAAAATGACCATGCTTAAGACTTTTTTTGCTGTGAGTTTTTAGATTAGTAGAGGGTTGTGGTTTTTTTTACCTGTCTCCTAGGTGAATGAAACACAATTTCAGTATGTCATCTCCCTGTTAAATATGTGAAATAGTCTCCAGTAAGCCCAAAATACCAATTTTGTGATGGTTTCTCAGCTGTGGATGCAATGTGATGGCATAGTAGAGCTAGTGTAGTCAAAAGTCTTGTGCAGATTGCGTCTCAGAATTAGGAAGCTATACCTAATAGTCCTGTTTTCCTGTTCTGAAAAGGCTAGTATCATTAAAGGTATCATTAAAGTATCATTAAAGGTAAAGTATCATTAAAGGTAGTATCATTAAAGGCAAGCATATCTTTAATATATTTCTTTGAGTTAAAACAAATACCATTTATGTTGCAAAAGCAGAAAGTACAAATTTTTCAGACAGACCTAGCACCTGTTTTCAATTTATTTTATTTCCTTCAGACTTCTGTTTTATGTGGATCCTCTGCTTTGTCCCTGTTCTTTTAGCCGTAGACTGACGTGTGGGTTTAGATATTACTGTTTCTGATAGAATCTTTGTTTTCGTGGAAAGTTCTTCAGCATATTGTGTACAAAATGGCTCAGTGTTTGATTTTTGTGTCATAGGTATACAAAGAAGTTTAGGTACTTCTGTCTAGAATTTACTGCTTTGTAACCAATGAATACTTCATTTTGCTTATAGTTTGCAATTCTTACTTTTCTCGTATGCTGTCCTATAAAAATGCTGTTGGTTCTTATTTTACAGTGTTAGTTTTAATTCACATACATAGCAATGATCACACATCAGTGTTATGTCAAACTCCTTACAACAGGTGGAGATGCATATTTTTGGGAATGAGTTGTTTAGCTCATTTGCTCATTGAATGAATATTATTTCAACAATACTGTGAATGCTGAGACGCAGAAGAGTCTTGGTTTATGGAGTGGAATGGTGCTGCACAACACTGTCTAAGCAAAGAAAATTTGGCTTTTTGGTCAGTTAAGTCTCTGCAGTGCTGAAAAACTACTGCTGCTAGCATTAGGGTTAGTACAAAACAAGCTCCTTGATGAATACATAGGAAACTCAAAGCGGTTGTGTAACAGTAGTAACACAAGCAAGATGTAATTCCATTCTATATGTATTAGAATAAAGCCTCTTTACACATTAAATGCATAAAACATTTCACTTTCTCAAATGCTATAAGAAAAGATCTTTTTCCATCAAACTGTGCATATAATAAGGCCCCTTTGTACTTTTTTAGTGAATTTCAGGCTAATAATATGGGAAATGAAAGTTGTATGTAAATAAATAGCAGTTGGTCTTGTTAAAAGACTTGTCCAGCATTATCATATTCCTAAATTTAAAGGCCTGTATCATACCCCTTTCATTCTCGTACCTATGCTAGCAAATTAACATCAATTTGATTCTCGTTTAGGGAAGCATTTAGATAGACCATACTTTGGCAGGGATCAATACAAAACAAAATTTGTGTGTTGGAAGAAAAGGTTAAAGGATCTAAGATTATTAATCAAAATAAGGGAGTTACTTGTCTCATTATCACCATTGTACATTACGTTTTACAGTAATAAAATATGTGGGTGTGGGCCTCAAACAGACCCTAAAGTAATAATTAAGAAGACTTACAAAGTTCTTCAGAAGGCCAGAAACGTAGACGACAATAACTGGTAGCTCTATTATTTGAGCTGTTAAAAGCTACTTTGAGGAAGTGTAAGCCAGAACGTTTCCAGATTCTTCTTGAACATAGATAATTTAGTTTTTATCCTGTGTATTACAGTGTGCAGGTGTTTTCATAGTCATGGTTGCATTTCTGTTGTTGTACTGCTCCTCAAATCTAACATTCATTGTGTAGTGATAGATTAGTAGCTATTGGTGAATGCAGAGTAGACATTTCTTTAACTATAATAAATGAAACCCACAGCAGGTGGCAATTTCGGGCGGGAGAGCCATTTTTGGCAAGATCTGAATGGTACTGCTGATTCTTCAGCCTGATACGCAGAATATACAATGCAATTAAGGTTTGGGGCTTATGGTGTGGGTTTTATTTTGGGGGTTTTGTGTGTGTTTTTTTGTTTTGTATTTTAAGAAGTCTAGTTACTGAGGCAATCTACAACTGAAAATGAAAGGCAGATTGGTCTGCTATTTAAAAATCATTCAATTTGGCTCCTTGGACAAAGAATGGCTGGGTTGTTTTTTTTTTTTCCTTGCACCGTAATTAAAATAAAGATAAAAATGTAAAATACACTATAAAACATTGTGTCTTATTGATAGCCTGGTTTGCTAAATAGAAAGCAGTTAATTTTTAAGCATCTTTGATGTAATAAGCCATCAGTACATTAACTGAACTGTCAGTTATGTTTTAAAATAGCTCCTTTAATAAGCCATCAGTACATTAACTGTATTGTCAGGTATGTTTTAAAATAGTTCCTTTTTTCTTCAATAAATGTTACTTGGAAAGTCAAAAAGAATGGTTTGAAAAATTAAGAAAAAAGTACTCTTATAGCACACTTAAGCATTATTTCTTAACTTCATTCTTTTTGTGGATGGTGCTATAAATGAAATACTTCGCTTAAATGTAACTTCAGCCCAGATATAAGAAAAGTTAAGTGCTATGTTATACATTCTTTGAAATAATCAAGCTACACTTAGCAAAAAAAAAAAAGAAAAAGGCATCAATGGATAGAAATAACTGTATTTACACATAGTCCTTCAGGTTGTAACCTGCGTTGCTCTCCTGCTCTGCAGATGGGAAATGGTGCTGCTTTGGAGGGTAAATCCATGCTCCTTGCTGCTTTTTAAAACATGAAGTGCAGAAGATAACACCTGCAATAAGCAGAAAGCCTGCTGAAATAAATCCTGTATAGACTGCTCCTCCTGGTTCATGTTTACTGCTCTCTGGAACGGTTTGGTCCAGAAAATTTGAAATTATTTCTCTTGTATACCAGGATGTTGGTACTAATCCAAAAATTCCTGCAAGAATGAAGCAGACTCCTCCAGCAAAACAAGCGTGACTTTTACTGTCAGTGTCCCCTCCCAACTTTGTGCACTTCATGCCAACTGTAGTGATGCAGATCCCAAAGGCTGATAGGATACATGACAGTACCATGGTGGTCCGTGCAGCCTGGATGTAGACGGGGAGAGAGAGAACGGAGTATTTTAGGGTACAGCTGAACATCCCAGTGCTGTACCATGTGCAGTCCATCCAAAGTCCTTGCATCTGTGTTATAGCTGTTATGATATTTGAACCAACATCTGCATTTACCTTCCAGTTTGGTAGCAAGGTGGCTGTGATATCTCCAAAAACACCAAACAAAGCCAGAATAAAAGCAAAGAACTGCAGACTTGCTGATGCCATGATGATTATCTGCTGTCACCTTTTGTCTGCCCTTTCTCTCTTGTAAATGGGCGTAACTGGTCGGTAGCTTCGTAGCCAAGGCTGTAGCCCTGTGTAACAGGGAGGAAGGGGAGGGAGAAGTGTGAGGGGAAATGAAAAAGAAATCAGCAAACAACAAAAGCTTGCATTTAAAATTAGAGCTTTCTGAATGGATATCTGAACATGACCCTGAAGCAGATGAGAGCAGCCGAGCAGCTGTACACAAGGTACTCGAGTATAAATGATGGCAAATGGACAGTGTTTTAGAATTGCTTGTAACAAGGAGCTGCTGCCCTTTCCTACATGATTGCAAGCCATCAAGCAAAACTTATTTTACTCGAGTTGTTTGTGGTAATAGTATGCAGATTGGAGGCTTGCTAGACAAATACACATTGTCAGTGGAATATTAGGAACTTGCAGATTAGAAATTATTGCAGAAAAACACTGTGGTAGAAAATGTATCCTAATCTTCAAGTGCCTTCCTTAAGTGTTTGTGGCTATAGTCAGTTCCTGTTGACTTTTATAACAATGAATATTGATAATATTTTCTTTTGCTTGAAGAATGGTTAAAGGTCACCCTTTATTTCAGTTATTTTAATATTCTCTATTCTTTTGTTTAATAACTTACAATATTTCCTGGTTTTGAAGGGGAATAAGATTGAATTTATTTTTTGCAGTATTCTCACAATTAAGTCACTTGACTTTTGTAAATCAGTATTTTATTTTCAGTCAGTGATTTTCAGTCCTTGACTTAGAGCAGCAGTATCAGTCACTTACCTGTCTGAAATAATTTATAAATTTGCTCTGAAGTGTCAGTTTTAAAAAATCATTAAAAAATATTTTTTTTAATGCTATTGCTGCATAGAGTCAAATTTCATTTAACAGATGAGAACATTTTAGGCAGTATGGTAACTGTGCACCTGAGAAGACAGAACCATTGCTGTTACATCAGCTGGACTGTTGGGACAGCAGATGAAGAACAATGGTTTGAAACCTCTGTGAAGAGGATTAGAAATGGTGCCCTGCCTTTTAAGTGGGGCTGTGTAATTGGTAGGTTTTGTCTTTTATCAGAGTCATAACAGGAAGGGAAGTCCTCAGTCTGGATTATGCTTCCTGAGACATTCTGTCTAAATATGAACAATAATACTAAAATTGGTGTTTAGCATTAGAACTTTTTGGAAAAGCTGTGATAGTAAGGGTTAAGGTTGAAATAAGTGGAACATAATATCTGTAGCATTGTACTATTATTCCATTATACGTAAGGCAGCAAGGTTTTGATCAGTATATATCAGTCTTTACTGGTATTAGATAACAAGTAATTCTCTAATTTATATATTGTACTTAGTCCAGGTAATTGCTCAAGGATGTTCTAACTCTATCCAGCAAAAGTCTTATTTAAATAAGATTATTATTATAGTTAAGCATTTGACTATTCACAACTACTCATTTTTAAAAACTTATTCAAAGACCTGCCTATTTCCAAATCCCTTCATTTTGTTCAGACTGAAGAGTATCATTCGCTGTATCAGGCCCATGAGAAGGATGACTTAACTTCCTTTTGCAGAAGGAACTGACATGTCTTGATAGCTCAGAACTCATTCAAAAGCATATTCTGGAACAGCCTAATTAGGATCTTGAGTTAGCTTTTTTCATTGCTGCTTTTTTAAAATTTCAGCATATAAAAACATGCAAGCATAAACACAAATCACTGCAAATGGTAGTCATACATTACATTTAATGGGATGAACCAAATTAAAGGCATGATAAATTCAAGTATATGCACTGCAAATGTAATAAAAAATACAATTATGTTTCATTCCTGTTTTTGTAGCACTTACTGCTGGATGTGAGGTCTGAGATGGTTTCTTCACTGCAGATGTCCTGGAAAAATGCAGTTTTTCTTGAATGGAACTGTCCTTTCTCTTATAAAACTGCATTGGTGTGTATTAGCAAAATTTCTTGGAATGTTGTTTTTTTCTCTTCTCTACAGCAAGTGCATTACTGCTGTTTGTTCTCTCTCTTAGTTCTATCCACCCGAGAATAAAGGAGTACTTTGTTTAATGAGTTTTGTTTGACAAAACACTCAGTAAGGGAAAGCAAAGAGATTATGGAGGAAAACACATAAAGGCCCTTAGTCCTAAATACATAATGATATCCAGGTTCTATGATGAAAGCTCTGGGTTCTATGATGAAAACCATGAACAGCGATTAAAAGGAATAAAATCTTGGGAATCCAGAAACTGTAGACTTAGGGATTGGGGGGTGAGGGGTGGGTTAGATGCTGAGGGGGGAGGGTAGGCTTCATTTAAGTTGAACTGAGAGCCAGAGGGTTTTGTTGTTTGTTGGTGGTTGGAGTTTTTTTTCTTTTTCATCACAGATAATCTTATTAAGAGTTTAAATTTCCTGGGAAAGAACTATGCAATTTCTTTTAATTTGTAATTGGAACAGCAGGACATTTCTATTCAAGTACACTTTTTGCTTATCTCTTCTTAGTAGCCTTAGCCTTCTGTAGGTCATCCTGGAACTTGTTACCTTTGTATGGGTCTGTATAAAAGGACGAACGGATAAAGCTGCTGAAAAGGCTGTGTGGTGACTGCAGCACATCAAGGAATGGCCTTGACAATTTGCTGTGTTAAATCAAGAAGTTAGGAGAAAAGTCTTGCTGATGGTAGCAGTGATACATGCATAGGTTCTGCACCTGACTTTTGGCTTCCTGTGATCTTGTTTGTGATCCTAGTGTGAAAGGGCTAATTACAAAGCTGTTCTTACACAGTAATTAGATTATTGCTGTTAGTGTAGTGGCACAGTTATTTTCCACTGAAAAGTGGACCAAAATGAAACCTTTGCATTGGAACAAGGCTGCTAAGAGATGCACATATGTGGTATTAGACCTAACATTTGTTTGGAGTATACAGATAAAGTGCTGGTACTGAATATTTAGCTGGTGAGAGTACTTGCTTAGAAGTGTCTTATTAAGATCTCAAGCAGTCTGTTTTAATGAAGTTGTAATATGTTCCACTTAGATTTCAGTTCCCTATGAGTAAATTACAGCTTGAAAAAGGGTCTTTGGGCTTCTTTTAATGCAGCCCTGTTGCAAGATACATGTATTACCCATCATGAGGCCCTTGTTGTCAATAATTAGTAAAAATTGTCTCATTTAAGCTTATTCTAATTTATACTGTTGGTTTAATCAGTAAGGCAGCAGACATCTCTGAATTAAATTGTATTCCTCCTACCCTACCGGAGCATAAACCTTCAGTGTTCAGATACACCAAGCCAGCAAGGGGATAATAATTGGCATACTATTGACAGTTCAGAGTATATCAGTTGAATAATTTTCATATTCATTAAGTTATGAGAATTGAGTATTGTTTTGTAAATATTTCTAACATACTTGGTAGGGTGAAAAAGAAAAGTTTTACTGAAAAAATTATCAGCAAATTAACTTGTGCTGTTGTGTACTCTATTGGTTTTCATAATTCTACTCTGCATATTAAAAAGGTTAGGGGAAAATAGCATGTATAATTTTAAAGGAGTGGCCAATTACAAGTGAAAAGCTTTCCCCTGTATCTGTTGCTATAGTAACCAGACAGCTTTCCTGGGGTCCAAAGAAAACAGCATCTATAATGGAACAAATGCTGAGAAGTGCTGTGTTTTGTTTCAGAACCAAAAATTATTGCCCACTGGCCTTGAGATTACAAATTGAGCTGGTTTTCTGTTAAACTGTACACTGCATCTAGGTTGTGTTCTTTTCTTCTTCTTCTTCAGAAATTTTTGTTAAAGATGCAGCTCCAACTCCCAGAGAGACCAGATACATCACTTATAAGCAGTTCTGCAAAACTGGGGTCCCAAATGATATCTCTAGTGGTTTTCTTACCCCTAATTTTGTAGAGAAAATACTTGTTTCATTTCTTGACAAAGATGTAGGTAAACATGTACATGCGTGAATGCAAGCCCTCAGTATGTCTGTGCAAGGAGCTGGTTGGTTATGTGAAGTATGTATTTATTTGCTCTGTTCCACCTCAGTGAACACAAGTTTTTGCTGCCTTCCTGTGGTCTCCCTGACAGGTATCAGCAACCTGTGGCAAAGGTAGAATCTATCAGCACTTGAGAAATTCAGAAACTGTTTTGGAAAACAAGTTTATGTGCCTTTTACTGCAGGTTCTATACGTCAGGTTTTCTTGGTTATGTAATTTTTAAATACGTTCTTATGTCATTACATTTTAGTAATTTATGGGTTTTGGGTTGTTTTGGGTTTTTTTTTAAATCTTAGCTCTAGCTTTCAGAAAAGGTGGAAAAAGATTGAAAAAACACTATCTATCTGTAAAATATACTTGAGGTTAGCAGTGCTAATACTGGAAACTCAGTATTTTATTTTTTTTCATCAGCACCATTAACCAGTATTTTTTTTTCCTTTTTCTAGCCAGTATTTTCATTCAGCTTCCTAAATTCTGTCTACATAAAAAACTTGTTGTTTGAATTTAATCATTTCAGTTGAAGGCAAATACAATACCTCTGCTGTTGAAGCAGTTGTAGCAGAGGGATGTATTTGACAGCTGAGCTGTTCCCACTGAAAATACAACATGGATGGATGGCACTTTTGTGCCAGAATATGTCCACATCAGAGATTACTATGGTTTAATTGATTTTAAAAAACCTCTACAAACTCAGAGCAGTTTTGGTTAAAGCAGTAGAAAAAAATAAAACCCTCACTTTTTTTTGAAGTACTCTTTTGCTATGGGTTTTCTCAAACAATTGGTGTGCTGAGAGTGTACTTAGAACAGAAGCTGTTCTTTGGTCTGAGAATATCTCTTATTTCAGTTAGAACAAGCACATCTTCAATTTAATGTGACGTAGACTGTTCCATGAATGACAACATTGGCTTTCAGACCTTTTAAAAAGATGCATTATTGTCCATCATATTAGCAGACACTTTTAATAAGAAACTGAGTATTTTTAAAAGTCTGGCACTTAAAAATTTTGTAGTCGTACAGTACCATTACTTGTACAAATCGTATAAATGGTCAATGCACTCCTCCACAGAAATTTTTCATTTATATTGTTGTTAGTATCTAGTGTGGAAGACAAACTGCTTTACTCGATGTTGTGCAGAACTGGATTTTTAGCCCAGCCTCTATTTTTTTAATACAGAAGTCTGAATTTAGGGCATCTCTGTGTAATACAGTATCTCTGTAGCTGCATGACATATATACATATTTTTGGGTTTTATATATATACCTATAGTAAAGGGAGGATATTATTTCATTCTGTTTTCAGACACAGGGAAAGTGACTATTCTGTGAACAAAGCTGATTTTAGAACTATAAAAGAATGAAAAAAAGACTGAAAAATCTTTGTAGAATCATTTAAGTATAATTTTGAATGAACTGTGATACACCCTGTAAATAAGTTGTATGGTCACTTAAAATGGGTGCAGACTTATTTCTACCTACCAGTCCTTTAAATGGACTAGAATTTTACACTCTTAGTATGCTGAAAACTAATTCTTTGGCTTACATTTGAGAAAAGCCCTAGAGCAACAGAAAACATGTAGGGAATGGATTTGATTTCTAATTATAATACCAATTTTCTCCAGCTGCCCTTCAGCCTATATATTGAATATTGTCTAATTTGTGTATCATGTCAGAATTGTCTTGTGGAAGGATTTGAAGAAGAGTGCACTAATTACTTTACAGATTACATGGAAGTTATTCTAGATGGAGGAAGTGCCATGGGGAGAAAGGTAGTGAGTATTAATGGCATGTGAACTAATTGGAAATATGTAGATAACTATGACTAAAATTCTGTAGGGCTGTGAAAATTAAGCCGAATTTTCATATTCAAATACCGTAACATTTGTCACTGCAGTTATGCTACCTGTTACAATAATGTCTTCCTATGTTCTGCCTGTTTCCTGGTGTCTAGCCAGTTAACTTAGAAATAATGTGTCTCATAGGAATGTAGCTACTCAAATTTCTCTTTCTTTTCCATATAGGTGGATGTGGCTGTGGTGCATTTCACTCCACTGGTGCAACCAAAGATAGAGCAGCCATTTGAACTCGTAGAAAAAGTGGTTCAAAGTGTTTTTCAGTTTAGAAGAAAATACTGCTTCCGTGGAATTGAGTAAGGATCTTTAATGAAGAAGTCTCAGATACTGTTTTTGTAAACACATCGGCACTTGTAGCTATACATTTGATTTTATTCCTTCCCTTTTAAATTTGTCATCAGTTTATCAGATCTTTCCATTTCTGAATGATTTCTGGAGACAAAAGTACGAGATGAATCTCTGCTGTAATTATGTAGTAATTATTGTGTGTTTTTTGCTAGTGCAATTCAAGTTGTTAAAATTACTAGGATAAATTAATGATAGTTTGTCTGTCTCAGAAAAAAACAACCAACCAAAACTACGGCATTTTTTGGTTTATTTAAAAAATGAAAGTGTCAAAATTCAGAACCAAAAATGGCAGCATGAGGAGGGAGAGTACTATCTGTGGGAAATTTTACTTATTTGGAGTTAATGTCGAAAGGTTAAATTCTTTCCGTGCTTGCCTTTTAATGGAGTTCTTACTGACTCTTTAAAAATCCCTAGGTCTTACTGAGGGAATTTACTAGGTTCTCTGACCAACATGAGAGACCTGCAGTCTGTTCACCAAGGCTCCTGTTAAAACTCCAGCATGGCCACATGTCTGGTTTAGTATGGGAAAAACCCAGCATTCAGCATTGTAGAATGTGGGAGAGAGCTGCTGTTAGGACTAGAGGCGTGGTACTGCAAGGCGGGCTAGCTGAATGTTGCTGGGCATGGTTTTGGGCCTCATGTAGTCCAGAATTGGGAAGGATGCCATCTTACGGCACTACAGGCCTTAAATGTCACTATTTTAAAGGTGAGTATAGAAATTTTGGGGGGTTGTTTGATTTTATTTTTATTCTTGAAGTAGTGAATGCCATTGATGTCATGAGGCAGACACTGGATCTAAAACAAGTACCAATTTGCCTGTGTTAAGGTTTGAGGTGGTTAGAAAATGAGGTAGTCTAACTCTGTATCGATTTGATTTACAGGGTGGTGGTTTGGGTTTTTTTCTCTGTGAAAGAATGGTTTCACTTGACAGTATAAGCAGAAGGCACGTGCAGTCAGCGTATCTACTTGATGTAGAATATTTGTGGCAAAGTTTAAAAAAAAAAAAAAACTATTGTATAATCTCAAATGGCTACTAACTGCTCAATGGGCTTTTTTTGAGGCAAGGAGGGGGAACCTGAACTTTTGCACATCATATATCCCATAGCAACTTACCATGCTTTAGCCCTAGAGTGCAGCTAAGAAACACAATCCTCTTATTCTTCAGCTGAGTTGAAAAAAGTAGCACATTTTGGTGTATTTTAAGTCTTAAGTTCATTATAAGGTATCTACCTGTGTATCATGTATACTATATAAAACCAAGGGAATAAAATCTGTTTACATTTGTGTGTAAATTCTGGGGTCTGAGATAGACATAATGTATAAGATAAAGCTGTTAAATCCATGAAGAAATATATTGTAGTTTGAGTTGCTATTCATGGACATCTATAAGATGGTTCTCTATATAACAGGTGATTTTTTTTTTGGCTTCAGGTACATCTTTTAACTACCAAATCAAATAAGAGAGTAAGTTAAGGAGGGATATCAAAATAAGGATTAGTCCATTTTAACCTTGCTGCCCTAGATGCTGAACTAATTGGAACATTTTTGACCAAGGCATGAAGTAGCCCATACTTGAAACCAGGTTGTTCCTAGAGGTTCCATCCTTCTCTTGTCATTTTAAACCCTTTCTTAACTTCTTATTCTATCTGCCCACCAAGAGCCATCTATCGCTTACTTGTACAAAACCTTCTGAGTAGGTTGTCCAGCCACCCTGTGAAACACAGCTGGGGCTGTGGGGTGTTACTGTATTAGGTGCATAACATTTCTAGGTTTTAGGTATGTATGATAGAGGCAGATTATTTGAAAACTGAGACATACACAGGAATCTTGTGCAAATTTTCTGCCTTCCTGATGCATTGTAGACTGAGAACTACTGCTAGTAGGAGCCGCTGCTTTCAATAGTTGGCACTTTGTAGTATGCATTTTATGAGACATTAAAAATCACTTGAACTAATACTAGTCTTTGAAATCTGGGGAACTTGTGAGAGAGAGGTGCTAATGCATCTGGCCACAGGGTAGATTAACTGATATGACTATGAACAGTGACGGCTGAAAACAAAATCTAGGACTTCTAACACATTCTCCAAGTTCTAAATATTAAAAAGTGAATTATAATTAAATATTCCTTTCCTGCTTGACTTTTTTTCTGGCGTTACGGTATTAATGACAAGTCACAACAATATTTCTCCCATTGGAATGAAACACTTACTTACCATGAAAGTCATATGGTTGGGATATGATCTGTTTTCCACAGCTTAATCTGTTGTTGCTCTCTAAATATGAGGCAAATTCTAAGACTCTGTGACTGTGTCCATACCCAAAGCTCCCTTTAATGTTAGCAAACAGGAACAAACATTCATGTGTTTAATGTACAATGTATGTAGATGCTTTCCTATGTTGTTATAATTTGCATTTGCAGAAAAAGGGCCCTTACATGTTTCTATTTGCTTAGATAATGAGCTATCTTAAAAGTGCTACAGCTAAAATAATGACATACTTAATAGTAAACCTATATTAAGTACATTCTTAAGAGGATTCTGTTACTCTTAAGGGAAACTGAATTGTCTGTCTGAACTCTGAATTTGTTTGTCTTCTCCCCACACCTTTTAGGACCTTGTTTCCTGAAAGTGGACGTTTGAAAAGAACAGAACAGCTGATGATGACAGCAAATGTTGATCCAACTCTGCGTCCTACTCAGCTCTCCATGTCGCAATTTAGAAATCTGTGCAATACATACAGGAAAATGTGCGACGAAGACCCAAGCCTTTTTGTGTACAATTATAGAGAAGAACTAAAGCGAAAGAAAATGAGAAAATTACTTACAAGTACTGAAGAGACTGAAGAGGAAAAAGAGCTGTAACAGCTGTAATTGCAGAAGACTGATTTTTTTATTAACTCCTTAATCTAGAGGTGTTGATTCAGTAAAAGGTTTATATATTCCTACATCTCTGCAGGTTTGGAAAAATTACTTTTGATAAAGTGGTGGAGAGAGAGGGCTTTCCCATTTTATTTATTCATTCCATTCAGCTGCAGACAAAAGTGAGCAGACAGTCCAGTTACAAGGTGCCTACAGTTGTTTTTTTACTTCAGGGGAATGGCTAGAACACATCCCAAGAACAGGGTATGTTGTAAGACGTAATTAAGTTGGGATACTTTTGAAATAGCTGAGTTTGTGTGAATGAAAGTGCATTATTAAAATGTAAGAAAAAATACTTTTCATACTTCAGCATGTAGACAGGATTTGGGGTTTTGTGCTCTTTTTATCCTGGAACAGCTACTGTGCAGAGTAATTGAAAAAAACAAAAGCCAAAACTCCTGTATAAATATACTCAAGTGACTGGCTTACAGGAGGATAAAGTGCACAGATTGTCTCAGGGTCTGCAAATACTCTCATTTATGCAAAAGCAAAGAATTTGGGATTTAAAGCTCCAACTAGGGAAAAGCAGCACGATAAAAAGTAAAGAACATGGCTAAGTACAATACTTATTTGTCTTTTACTGTACAGGCTAGTAGAGAAAATAAAAAATACAGTCAAATAAAAGATTACAGGCCAAGCTTTGTTTTTGTATTTACACATATGTATAAAGTATAAACAGCATCTTGAAACTTACGAAAATGAAATTCTTGCACTATTGTGCACTAAAACACATTAAAATAACTTAATTCTGCTTTAAATAAAGCAAAAATGAAAACCAAAGAAAGAAAATGCCCAAGGTATTGAAAAACTCATTTTGCAATGCTACTTCCCATTGTAAACCCCCCTACCACTCGCTACCACCTTTTCCACATTACTTAAAATACTAGTGAGGCCATCTTCCCCTCCCCAGGAACACTACATCATCTTAATAGCTGCTTGAAAGGGATGAACTAATTTACAGACCTTGGCTAACTTAATCTATTTTTGATCCACAATAAATTAAAATAACTTAAGAATCCTTTACAGCTGTTTTTGTGGAAAAAATGTCTTAGTGCACAAAATCAGAGAGAAGTTTTCCTGCAGCTTCCATGAATTTACTAGTTTTAAAGCAAAATAAGTTTGTTGAATTTTATGTGGACTTCAAATGAATATTTTAAATATAGTGCTTAGAAAGCTAGGATTTCCCATGCCTCTCCGCAGCTTCATAAAAACAGTCCTCATTAACTACAGATGTTAAACTCTGGACGCTAAATTCTCTCTCTAAAATAGAGTTCAGATCCAGATTTGCAGCATCAGAGTGACTGTCAAGGGACTGGTGGCGTTCTTGCATTGCCATTAAAGTTCCTCTGTTGCGCTTTGTGCTGTTTACTTTTCTCTTCACTGGGCAGAAATGGCCGCGCACAAGCTTTGGATGCTCATGCATGTCTCCTGTCTCAAAGCCATCTCCTTCCTCATTTTCAGCAGCTTGATCCCGTTCAGAGTCAGTACTTGGCTCCTCTGAAATCTTCAGCCGTTGGAACTGTATTTCAATGTCTTTCGTAGGGCTGCCCTTCTTTAGGTTTCGATAGTCATCATCATCATCATCATCACTGAGAATATCAGATTCTTTGACAAGAGCATTAGAAAAGTCAGACGCACAGCTCTGGACATGTTTATCGAGAGATGAATTTTTGGGCTCCTGTATGCTTTCAGTGGTGTGGCAGCTGCTGCTCTGAGTACTGCTGCTCAGGCTGCACTCATCGGAGTCCTGGAAAGTGCCCTTCCCTAGATCACCATTCCACTCACTACTAGATGAATTCTTCAGTACCTTCAAGGACCTTGTGGAAGCTGTGCAGAAGAAAAAGGCAGGTTTATTTTTGCAGCAAAACATCAGCTGGTTACATTGTTTGTCTCAATCACCCACTTACTTATAATTACAGTGTACACAGTCTCATTTGATAATAATCCCAGCTCAGATGTGGCAGCATTCTGATAGCAACAGTGCGATCCCATAGAGTTTTCATTCTACCTACCCCAGGGCCCTATTGTGTAATATATACAAAATCCTCACAAAATTGTAGTAATGATTTACACGTTTCTGCAGGAAAGCAAGATTGATTCAGGTACCCGAAGCACTGGAGGGCCAGACTGTAGGTGGAAGTTGAGCTGTCCTGGTTCCTGTGATGTTAAAGGGATTTTATAGACAACTGATCAGATGGCAAACTTGAAATACTAGTAGCTACTCATTTAACTAAAATATTTAAAGCCTGTACTTAATTAGGGTATCTGTTGGGATGCCAATTTAGTGCATTGAAAGAAGCAACACTCCTGCCTTTTGCCAGTTGTTTTAGCTCTGAATGTTATTAGGGCTGAGTTACAAAACGGAACCCAGAGGAAAGAACACTAATACTGCACGCCAAAGTCTGTTTCTTCCCAGCAAAATGAATTGGGGCCTTATTAAGTTTTCCCTTAAGAGAGCTAATGGCACAGCACAGTGCGGGGGGGGGGCGGGTGGCAAGCCTCCTTGTCTCCTCTAGCCTTTGCCATGCTCTGAGTGGTGGAGAAATTCTACCATCTCCCCAGCCTGAAAAAGAAACAGGATTTGTGGCTCTGGCACGTGACACACTACACTCATAATAATGACAGACTTTCTGCCGGTGCTGGATAACAGACTCCATTTTTTTGAGAACACGTTTCTTACCCAGTTTGGCTGTTGCAGGTACACGGTTCTTGAGTGGAACAAGGCGATCTTTACTTGTTTTCTCCAGCGGTAGCTCACATTTTATGTGGCGTCTGAAATTCTCCCGCAAAATAGAACGGATCACCTTCACAATGTTAGTCTTGTTCTCACAGTCACTGCAAGTTTAAAGAAACACATAACTTAATTTTCGCCTCTGAAGGAAGACACTATAAGGATAACGTTTGCCTGCCTTCTTTCTGCTGACATGCTTTAGTGCAGTGGGCTTTTTTCAGTAGCTTGCTTTAGTAGTGGTTTTGCAGCTAACATCTTTATGTCTTCTTAGGCATTTCACACACTTCATGTTTTGAGATCTTAGTTACTTCCCCTTAGACAAATAGCCTGAAAGGTAACTTTATACCAACGGATCACCCCTCAAATGGCCTTTGTCAGAAAGTAATTTCTGCTAAGCAACTGAGAATCTTGATAAAATCAGTTACTTTGCCCATATCATACTGGAACTTATGATCATACATCTGTGCAGATATCTGATGTTGGATCACTGTGCCAAATTCCCGCCCATTTCAAATTGTTACACTTTATGCAGTTAAACACTGGCGTAGTGCCTGGATTCAAAGAGAGATTAGAAATGCTGATGCATGGCAGAAGAATATATATTTTTATTTTCTTTTAATTCCATTAATGTGATTTATTGAATACAACCTTCATGTAAAACATACCTGCTGCACAACTGAAAAATTGTTTCTGGCCTGCCTTCTAGTTCTGACTTTGTGTGAATCAGTTCCCAGATACAGCTGTTCTCTGTTCCTGCACATGGGAGAAAACATTGTTTTTGTATATACTTCACAAAACCTTTGGCATTATAAGGACCAATGCACAGCTCCTTCACTCCTGAAAGTGGTGTTAACATAGCCACGGGTGGATCCACAGAAGATCCACAGAAGAAGTCTCCCGTTGCAGCAGCCTAGCGCTCCCTTTGAAAGGTGCTTTCTTTCTTTCCCCATTCTTACTGCTTCTCTCTGCTTTCCAGCCTTAAAGGCCTGCTCCCAGGTGTGCAAAGCATTTATTTCCTCTAAATACCTAGTGTCACTTTTTACAGAAGATACAGAAGTGGATAGGATCATAAAGATCAACTCAAGGAGAGAATAAAAGCACAGCCCTCTACTACCACAAATTACAGTTGACTTTCCCACATTTGGAAAAACACAAGGGTCAGCCCACAGACAGTGTAAGGGCGTCACTAGGACATCCACCATGGTATATCACCTTCTGTTCATAGTATCTTTTCATTGGGGATTTCCATTCTGTCACTCCCTCACATCATGTTGCATCTTCCTGAACTTGTGGAAGAAGCCAGCATACAAAATGAAGAAAGTCTGTTAATGTATCAAGCTCCCCTGAGTGCAGAGACAACAGCAGATGGTATTTTCTCTACACCTACCTGTTTCCAGAGGCTCCAGAAAGACATACTGAATAAGCAGTATTACAAAATCCCAGAAAAGCATTCAGTCCTAAAGTATGCAGAGCAAGGGGATTACCTGCTGTGTTCCCCAGTCGAACTTGAAGAGCAGATAAAGGAATCAGCCAACGAAATTTAAATGGATCCAAGTCACCATAATTATGTACAGCACGAACATTAGTAGGCTGCAGAAAGAAAAACAACTGAGGATATTTCCAAGAAGTAAAAAACTGTTTGGGTTTTTTTTAATTACTCTTGAAGACCTGCCTCTGAAGAGAAACTAAATTCATTAGACTTTTTCCTTTGGTACCCTAATATGTGCTTGCAAATGTAGTTGAAATGGTGATAGACACAACATTTGGAATTTGTAATTGCTTCAACTTTTAAAAGCACTTGTTTTTAATGGATAAAAATAATACTTTGCATATAAGTACTACTAAGGAACAAGCCTCCCATGAAGGAACCCGCAGACTGTTGATTAGCAGAATACATTAATCATGTAGCTGCTGCTGCTACTTTTAGAGCCCCTCCGTCTGTTAAGCATGGTGCAATACTTCACCACTGGTAATCAGAATACGCAACTTGCTACTTGACTTCAGCATTCCAGTTTTGTAAATGGGGACAGAGGAGGTTATGTTTATAATGCTCCTTTTTCCTTCCCTTCCAGGGTGACCAAGGGTCTATAAACGAAGGTTTTTAACATACACCCTATGTTAAGGAGGCCATCATAAATGCCATCTGGAAGAATTAATGATTCCTACATGGCAATGTTTCATATTCCACCTGACAAAACTAAAATGAGGCTCATGCACAGAAGATGCTGCTGCTTACTAAGTAACAAAAAATATTTGTGGCTATACAGATACTGAGGCACTTGTTCTAGCTGTGATAGATAGAATTCCTGCCTAGTGAGGGACGGTGATGTCACCACGGTCACTCGCCCTTCAACGCCAGCATGGTCCATCTCACACTGCAGTAGGATCCTGCACTTAAACACCCACCACCTCCACTGATACCTAACTTACCATTTTCTTTTTCAGTTTGTAATTCTCCTTGTACACCAGTATTACAGCCCTCTTAAAAACTGAAAAAGAAATCAAAAAAGGAAAACTTAATTACAGGTGTAATATTCAATGCAAATATTGTCTCAGAGAAGCTGTTTATTATAGTCATGGGAATGTGAAGGATGAGATAAGCAAATGGATTTAAAAGCGCCTGCCCCGCATTAAGATGACAACTGGATTTTTCATCCTACACTTGTTCATGCAGTGGCAGTATTATTTCCTCAGATTTTGTTCTGAACAGTTAGGATTAAGCCATTCTGCACATTTATTCTGAAATTAGCAGCAACCTGTCTCCTTAAGTCTTCACATCAATACAGCAGATGTAGGTTAGATGAAAAGGTTCAGATTTCCTTTTTGTAATCAGAAGGGCCTATATAGCAAGAGGGTGCTGTGAAAAAGGACACTAAGTCTGTTCTTCCTGCAGTTCAGCATGTTTAGTTGGAAACTCAAACATCTCAATTCCTCCTTTTCCATCTGCAGGAATTCTCTGGCTTCCACAACATCTGACTGGAGTGGCTCGCTAATGTTATCTAGTCTTTCCAGCTTCCAGGAAGGCAGGCACACGTTCTCTCTCAGCTGTCAGGAGGAACAGAAACATGGGGGCATTGAAGCTGCAGGGAACTAGGGGATGGCTCTGCAGAGCAGTACCAGAGTCCAGACTGGACTTTAGGGCAGTATAGCTCTGCTCGTGCATCCATGATTCCTTCCAGTGGAAGAGGAGAGAGGGATGATGATAGGCAGTTGTCATCCCTACATGAAGCCAGGATGCAACCATAGCAAGCACAGCATTAACCCTAGAGCTTGTCAGTTTCCTTCAGTTCCATATTAGATACATTTTCTAAGCTGCCTATGTAAGGTTTTAAGTGAGAATAAAATTCTGTTTCCCAAGTGGCAGGTGATCAGTATAAGCTAAACATCAGTCCAGAGTCCTTTCATTCATACATATCCTTCTGGGAAGTGTCTGGCATATACAGATCATGAAGAAGCTCATCCAAGGAATCTGGCAGGTAGTTACTGCTTGTTCTGTTAGTAGCATCCCATCTCCAACCCATCAGAAGAAGTGCATTACAGCCCTGAGAAAGACAAACTTGTGTCTTGTCATTGTTTTGTCATTGTTTATCCAATGACATTTTGGACAAGTGCCTAAGATGTTTCACTGGAAGACTTAATTACTTAGGTAATTATTAAATGATTAATAGTATATATACTATTAAATAAAACTCTTGTTTGTATGCTCTCATTTCCACATCCGTTTTTCAGGGTAAAGTATCTGAATGAGGATTTTGATGCAGTAATTGTAAAGCAGAAGTTACACAAGAGTAGAATAAACCACGATTTTCCTACCAGCCTCCTTCCTAAATTTGGTTTAGCACACTGTTCTAAGGACAATAATGCCTCTTGAAAAATCACTGCTTTCCACACTTTACATATAGGCAGGAGAGCAGCTGAAGTTGGCTCACAGAGCAAACAGCAACAACAAATGGAAACTTTTATCATATTAGGAAATACAACTATGTATTTTTTCAGATGTAAGTCTGCCCTGGATATCACATGGCTACAGGGAAAGGAACTGGTGGCTTTCACGTTGTTAGAAGATTTAAGGTGGTAATCTTTAGATTTGAAAGAGCAGAGAGTTATTAAGGAAGACATTTACCAAACACTGTAAGTTCAAGATCTTTTCTTGCTTTGCCCAGCGACGGGAAAGGATTCAGCCAGGAAACTGTGGAGTGCATCAGAAGTTCTCCCATTGAAAGCTCTGTCACCTGTATTAAATTAAAACAGTAGATAATATAACTAAATAGTATAAATATATACACCAGTTCTGTGATCCACATATGTGAGTGCAACATTAATGAGTACACATCAGTAACTTTAAGGATCTATGTTTTCTCTACGTATGTACAGAGAGAAAGGCAGAGAGATTTGTACTACAGCAGGATAAGCATGAGTAATCCCCTTTTCAAAATAGGTAACAGCTATAAAAAGTAATAGCCCCTAAGCTATGGTACCTGGATAGAAGTTCTTACTATTAATAACTTAGAAGAATATTAAGTAGATCAGATGATCTGTCACTTACATATAGCCAGTTGTGAACTGGCTGATTTATTAGCTGTAAGTATCTTTAATTTCTATAGAGTAATTAGTATTAATGACACTGCCAATGGCAGAATTAATGGAGGTCTCTGAGGCTACTTTCTTCTGTGGGACAACATGACACTGTGAAGAACCTCCCAGGCTGTCAAGTTTTGTTTCTCCATAAATGAGATATCAATGGGAGCGATTTGGCTTCTACTAGGAGGAAATAAAACAACTGAGCCAGCATCTCTCATATCTGATCTCCACCTTCATGGATTTCATCTGCTTATAATTGTTTGATGTAAATGGCTGAGACTTTGCTGCCCCAGTTCTGGGAGATGCGTACACACAGTCTGTTTAACTAATAGTTTTTGCTCCAACAAATACCCATGGATGCCTCAGCACTAGAAGTGTAGAGAATGAGAATAACAGACCTCAATGTGAAATCCCTTGAATTGCCATTTTCATTTATACGGGTGAAAAAAATATCTTAAGAACTCTATAGCATAAAACCTGAATGCCTTGAGGCATGGATAATCTCTGCAACATTTGAGAAGATTTTTCCTACTGAGAACTATGTCTACTCCTGCTTGCAATTCTTGTCAGTCCAGAAGGCGTCTCTCCGGCAGCTGTCTGAAAATTTTACTGTAACCTACTGACAAAAAGAAACTTGACAGGCAGATAGGAAATAGAAGTCAAAATATTAAAGGAGAATGGAGGAAGCCCAGCACAAATAAGTTTGCAAAATCACTTCAGGAAGACAAAAAGACCCAATGGCAAGCGGCATGAATAAAAAGTGCTATTCCTTCTCTTACCTCCTTCTCTGTTCCACTTTGATCTGCAACCAGTTGGTCAAATACGGTGCCGTAATCTTCATATATCTTCTGCATCTCGTTGATGTGACTTGCTACTTTTTCCATTGCCTTCAGTGCTTCTACAAGGTTTAAAAATTTCATAGACAGCTATGTAATTCAATCGTATTTTTTAAACGTGACATTTTTTTATTGAATTCCACTTGTGGCAGGCAAAACGACCCAGTGTCCCCAAGGTTTAGTAGACAGTGTTTTCTCATAGCAACAGTGGAAGGAATGCTTCCTGATCAGAGTAAGTGAAAAAGCTCATCTGGCCTCATAAGTGCCTGAAAATATTTCAATAAGCATTCCAGTGATAAGCCTCAGATGTATGAACATTTATAGTAACATGACAGTAACCACACTTAAGTTTTGCATCTTGTACATACAGGGCCATGTGGCTCACCACAGAATGGACAAAGAAATACAGAGCTAGATTGTACAAGTTCCTCACAGACTGTACGTATAAAATAAATGCTGGTTTTGTTTAATTTTTGTTTTCAAAGCAAGAATGATGCTAGATTTCATTAGACTTCTGTGTTAATTTAGAAAGGAGTTAGACAGGATTTCTTTAGTCCTGCCAGCTCTTAACTGACCTGCAAGTAAGTCACCCCCAGCTCGGTTGTAAGGCCAAGGGAACAGTATTAGAAACTCCCTTTAAAGTCAGTAACAGCCTTCTGACTTTTTGCTGACAATGTATTTTGCCTGAATCTATTTTGTTAAAATGGTAGTCAATCCATAAAATAGATCTCTAGACTTTCATCTACCAGGTGCTGACAGACCTGAACTGGAATTTGCCAGGGTCAAGTCCCAAGCATCTAAGCCTAGACAAGCAATCAATCCTAATATATGTTAGACATATAGGACATATCCCATGTCATCCTACATGGGAAGACTGCAGAGCTTTCACACAGATCTCTATGCAAGCAAGAGTCACAGCCAAACCTCAAACAACTAAAATTTCCTTCTGAGGCACTCTTCGAGTTCAAGACCTAAGTAATCACCACAAGATGGAGCTTTGCCCAGTGTTTCCCAAGTGGGAAAAAGAAAGCAACACTGACCTGACATGCTCCTGCGCACAAAGTGAGGAAAAAGACCCCAGTCCTATTTGCCATGGCAAATCCTGACCATATCTACTTCTCAAAGGGACTTGCACATACCAAGTAGGACTTCTTGCTAAAGCATGTGAAAGGTACTTCTTTTTTTCTTTTTTTTGACAAGTCTGTGCTATCTACCAGAATGGCTAACTGTATCTTCAGAAAGGGCTGGAAAGAAAACTTTAATATTCATTCCTGTAGAGAAAGGAGGAAGTTACCTGTCAAATGATAGTGCTCCTCACTCTCATTGTCTGTTAGAGACACCAGCTCTTTTAAAAGCAGAGGATATTTCAGCACTCTCTGAACAGGCTTTATAAGATACGACTCCAGTGTAGAAGAGTGTTGCTTTGTGGGATTTCGAGCATCTAGAAAGGCCTTAAAGGCACTATCTGTTTTGGCTGGATGTAAAGAAAAGAGTTGGTTAGTTGCACATAGAAGTCAGAATCACAGAACACCAGGTTGGATGGGACCTCAAGGATCATCTGGTCCAACCTTTCTTGGCAAAAGAGCAGTAGAAGCTACAAACATTTGAAAGCACAGAATCACAACTTGTAACCAGCACCAAAAGCCTTGTCATTTTTAATAGATGGTTTACAAAGTAGTTTACACTATTCATTTCATTATCATTTCCTGCACTAAATAATGTACATAAGGGCTAAGACAGCAATTATATCAAGGTAATATTATTCTTCAACGTAATTTTTCCACCACACTGCAGTGGATGGCAGAGGAAGTAGTTCCTAACTTATTCTACCGTTTGTTGCTGCTTTTTGAAGCATGAGCTTGATCTGGAGGCAGGACGAACTTGTGGAAGATGCTTCTGTAGCTATTCAAGCTAGTGCCTGGATGTTACAAAGAGCATCTTACCCCTTTAGTTCTGCAGAACTGCAGATCTTAGCTATTTCAATTGAAAGACAACTATTAGTTCTTACTTTGCACCAATATTGTCTACAAGTCAATGAGATTTCTTACAGTCATTCTCAGTTTAAATTCATGCAAATTAATTATAAAAGTGAAGAAAATATATTACCTCTCTCAAGAACTTTCTGAACTTTGATGTGGTTTGCACAGAAGCCACTGTACAGTTTAAAGTGGTCAGCATAATACAGAAAGGAGCCTCCGAGGGAGAAGAGCAATTTCTGAAATCAACACAATCAAAATATTAATTCATTACTAGAATCCTAAATAAATATTCAGGCACACAGCACACAGGCTCAGAGGTGTGATTATCTGTTCTTTCTACATATAGCCTGTATTTTGTATATGTACATATTTACATGGTAACACTACTGGTAGTAACTCCAGTTACCCAAGTTACAGATGTTTCTGTATTTCTCTGAGTGTAGAGTTCAGCCTATTTAGTCAAAGCCTGCAATTTTCTCCTTTCTGCACAAACAGGTAACACCACTGCAGATACTTCGTGTTACTGTATCGTTCAGGTAGCACAGGAACAAAAATCAACAGACACATAACAGGATATGTTGTGCTGGCAAAACCCATGAGCAATAGGAAGCAAGGCATAAAAGTGCCAAAGCCAGAGAAGACAGTGTGAAACAAACACAGAGGACTGCTTTCCAACTGTTTTTCTTCTTCTTTGATGGGGTGGTAATCACAGGGCACCTCTGATGTCCTTGGATGAAGGGGAGGTTGGGAAGATGTGGGAGGGACTGAATCACAAGGGAAAGGTTTTTGGAAAACTGCTTCACAAAGCAAAGATAAGAAAGAGGAGTAATGAGGGAGGAGGTGGGGAGGAAGAGAGCATCCCTCTCCCTCTTTTAATCTATGTTCCACAAAAGGCAGCAAGTGTCCGAGAGACCTGCCAACAGTCTCACCCAGTCCCGAGCCACACATGAGGAACTCATGGAGCATTTAACAGTAAAAGCTCCCAGATGATAGTGGGTGAACTGGGCACAGTGGGGAGGAGCACCTGGCAAGGCAGAATTCAGCACAGCAACAATAACCTTTCTACAAAGGAGTTCTCCATCATAAGTATTGCTAGTTTATAGCATACTCAAAGTCTACTCTGCAACCTCTGCCATGCGAAAGAGGAAGATAAAACCATGACAAAATGCAGTTTCACAGCTGAATAGATGTCTGTAATCCTAAGTAAAGCTTCAAACATAAAAGCAACCATATGAAACTTAGAGTTCTTAAAGCCAGATTTCACAAACATTTGCAGGCATACTACAAAGTATTAAATGACAAAATATTTACCCGGAACTGGGATGGCGTTTCCAGTGTATTAAAATCTGAGGAAGAAGTTATTCCTTCTTCAAGGGTCTCCAAAAACACCTTCTGGAAATTCAGCATTTCTGGCAGACTGCCGAACAAGGACTCCATCTGTGAAAAACACCAGGCTATGAGGGGCAGCACTCAATGCACCTAACACTGGTCTTGAGAAAAACAGTCCCATAAGGAAGTGTGCACACACAGGTTGTAAAGGCCAATAACACCTTCATTAATGTTTTTCAAACTGATTTTATAAAAAAATCCTTACAAAAAAGCAAAGGTTTCTTAGCAGTTAAGTCAGACGAACAATTACCTTTTAAAAAAAAGTGACTCAAGCACCAGACAGAAAGGCACTGACTGATGTAGTCCTATTGTAATCTTTGTTGTTTGCTTTTTCTGTCATGGTCTCAGCAACAAAAAACCCAAGTGGCAAACTTTTAACCCATAAAAAAAAAAAAAATGAAGTGCATCTTTCAGTTGTTCCCTCACCTCATCCTGGGTAAGGAAGGTTTCATTCTGAAGAGGCTCCAAGTATAGCTCAAAGAGGCAGCTCAAATCCTGCAAAAGAGAGAACTTGTTCACTTTTATGTAACCATCTGAAATTGTTCTTTATGCAACAGCTGTGGGATAGGGGTAATTTTGGGGAGCAAACTAGAGATGTAATTCCTTTTCTGTAATAAACGATACCTGTGTGTCGTTAGACCTAAAGTGATTGCTAAATTGGACACAAACTGATTTCAGAGTAATGTTTTTATTTCATCCTTCAGGCTTTAGAGCTTGATTATAACAAATTATATTCAGAATAGCATGAGGAAAAATGTTACAGATGATAGCTTTCTGAAGAGTCCATGTATATGGACAGCACCAAATGTCTTAATCATGTATGTTAGATAAACCTTGTAGACAGCCACTCATTCAAACGTCAGCAGTAATATTTAGAAGGACACCTAACATTTTAAAATCCTATCAGTTATTAAAGTATTCAGTTATGTTTCCAGGGAGGATGTGATCAAGGGCTTTTTCAGTCACTTCTTCAGAGAATTGGTGCCACTTTTGAAAACTCATTATCCCACACCAAAGCATGACAGCAAGGCTGGGGCCCACCACAGGGCTCTCTGGCCCCGAGAAGAGAAACAGCAGAAATTCTTATGGAGACTGGGTAATGAGCATCTCCCTGAGAATGCCATAATGAGTATGTGCAACGAGCATGTGCCAGGATTTTGCCTGGTGCAACATTTCACATATGTCAGTGACCTCCATGGTCACATGGAGCATGCCCTTATTCAAGCAATTCCTCTATAAGAAACACCAGCTGGACATATGTGGGGGTTCATGTTCTGTAATGCTTCCTCGAGCTTTACAGCATATGGCTGCATTAGTGCATTGGTGGATGTACTAACAATAAAAGCCTGGAAGTGTTTTCTCTTTTTTCTATATACATTATTGCATTAAGTACTGTTATCTGTAAGCATGTGCTTTGACATCCAGTAAAGTAGATGATTCCTCCTTGCTGAAGGTCAGTGAATTCAAGTTTTGGTTTTAAGGTTTTGGCATCCAGTCACATGAATTTGGGGTTTATAGAAAGAAGAGACATACATCTAACAAATTGTGGACTTGTCAGGGGAAAAACAACATGTGTGATGCTACAACCAACTGGAGTTGTGTCTTTTAGTTGTGCTGATTAAAAAATAATTATGCATCATTTTCCACAATCTTTCTTCTTCTACAATCCACAATACTTTCTTCTATTTTGTAGGAGAATATTCTGTTCTTCTACCAGATTTATTTTCATCTTGAAAACTAGGGAAACATCCCCTAGAAAACCTCTATGTTAACATATTGCAGGTATCTACTCCCCACAAATTACCACTCTCCAATATCAATACAAATTGACTAGACCTAAAGGTACTAGATCAAATCCTACAGCCTCTATTACAGGAGCAAGGCTGTTGAAACCAACAGGATAAGCAGACTTTATAGATTGTGGCCCTTGTAGAGGGCTGGTTATATAAAGGGTAAGCATGAATATGTTAAGACCATCTGTAAATCATGGTCAGCCTCAAAACCAAGGCTGTAGGTAGCCAGATTTTATTTTTCACCTTGACATAAGATTTCTCAGTGTCCATAAGTTCTTGGATGACTTTCCTCAATCTGTCTGCATCAGAAAGGTGGCGAGCCAGTGGCCGTGGAGGTGGGTCCTGGTTGTCCTTCTGTCCTTCCATACTGCTTGCTTGGACTTCTTGGAAGTTTCGACACAATGCACTGATCTGTTCCGCACTCTGTTAAATGAAAGGAAAGGGACAAGTGCCAATGTTTTAAATACAAGCTGTACTACAATTATTTTTAAATTCCTCAAATTTTGCTCATGTTCCAAATTCAGAGGCCAGAGCATGCCATTGATTTTTGCCAAATATGTATCTTGATAGCTTTGAACAGCTTGAATTTATAGCAAATCCAGATCACAGCAGTAAAATGAAATGAAAATTTTCTAGTGATTTCCCAGCACAAATTATTTTCCATCTTCAGATAAAAGCTCACAGGATGCAAAAGATGAGAAAGCACTCAGGTATATCATACACTTTGATTCTTATGACACTAGTATCATACTGTTTTCCATCTCTCTTATTTTGCAACACTGACTTCATCAAAATAGAAAGAATTAGTAGATAAAGATCTTTTAAGCATCCACAATAACTGTTTTATTTGTCACCTGCTACCTATATTGTGTGATGTTTTTTTCAGACAATGAGACATGGAGCTGAGGTTTCAGATTCCAATGTCTTGGGTTGTCAAAAGATGTTTAGATGCTTACAAATACATGTAAAGATTTTTTGCTTTCAAGAATGGCAAATGGAAACCAAATCCTTTGAGATTCTTTTGAAGAATGATAAAGAGGGGGAAAAAACAATCCAAAGCAGGAAACTTTCAAGCAAGGTAGGAATTGGAAATGGAACAACAGTTAACCTGATAAGGAAAAGATGGAAGAGATTTTTCTGACATTATGAAATGGTTGTGTAGTTCACTCTTGCATGACCACCACTAATATCCAAGAGCTACTTTTGCAGGCAGTAATCTTTAATGCTTAATTTGAAAATTATTCCACCGTTCTCTTTCTTACATGATGTTTTCCTGAGAGCTACAGTATTCCTACCATTAACCAATTTTACTTTAACAGCTGTCGGTATCTACTTCTTTATACTACATGAAACAATTCTTCAGTACTTCTGTCTTTCAGAAGGCTCTGCTATCTAGTATCTTCTATTTAGCAAATGCATGCAAATGATGACTACATGAATAATGCCTTATTTCAAGTGGAAGTCTTGTTTCAGTGAAGAAATTGGGACATGAGTACATTTCAGAACTCTCTTAATCTGAACTAATTTATTCCACATGCTCTTTCAAGTGGTCCTTTTGGGGTCTCCTGATTCACCAGTCATTATCTGTATAGCTGGATTCACCAACATACTAGCCCATCAAATGAGCAAATGTGAAAGTTATTCTAAAAATTACCTGAGCTATACAAAGCCTTCTGTAAGGTGCAGGCTAAATGCACCAGCAATATTAAATCACAAACATTCATATGACAAAACATAAGTACATCCCTCACACCTATATGGTGGAAATATATGTTAAAATGTCAAATATTTGCCATGTAATCTATGTTACTCTGTAGTTTCCCATCCCCCAGTTTTGAACAATGCTATGGCTCTAAAAAAAAAATAAGTTACTTTCCTCACTAATATGTGCAACTGTCTTCACAGTCCACAAAATTCCCACAGAAATTTTGATACATTTTGTATTTACAACGTTTATTAGGACCCAACAAAACACAATGTAAATCGAATGGTGTTTGTTGGAATAACACCTGCACACCGATGGGATACATTTAGAAATCACAGTCATATTCTGACACTAAAATTAATTAGTGCTTTACAAATAAATCACATCTTAATTTAGGAAATGGGTGTGTATTTTAAAGCAACTTCTAAATAGCTGAATGCCGAAGTACTTGAGCTTTGTTTTCTTTGTTTCTGATGTCAGAAAGTTCTGTATTTGTATCAGAATTACTCAGATTTTTTGCTCTCTACAGCTCAAGGTGTGCATGGGCAGCTACTGGATGCCTGGTCGAGGGCACTAGAGGACAGACTATTGAAAGCGAGTCACAAACATCATCATGAGGCACAATTTTATAAGGAAGACTTTAGAAGTCCTCCACTCTTCCTCAAGCACCATTGCCCAGAGGGCAGGCAGACACTGGAGAACATGTTCTCTATCCCCTTTCATTCTGGGGCCAGAGCTGCATCTGCCACCAAGAAGCACTGGATAAGAAAGCATATGGAAATAGATGATAGCCTTCAAGATAAATACTATTCGAGCATGAGAAATTGCATAATGACAAATAAATAGAGGTTAATATAAACTATTCTTGCTTGCTTGCAATATAAACTATTCTTGCTTGCCCAAAACACCCTTACCACCCAGGCTGGGATCTCTACTTTTTTCCACACTGCTCTGGATTCTACTCTCTGCCTCCCACACTAAGGAATGTCCTGCACTCTATTATTTTTGCTGTTTGAAACAAATCTTTTTTAGAAAGGCTCTAGTGGCAACCCCTATGAACATCTCTTTTGTATCTTTTATGTATAGGCAGAAAAGGCCCAGCCTCTGCCCTGTTACTGATTGCAGCTGGGACTTCAAAGCCACCTGGGCATTCTGGATGCAAAAGTCTGGCAGTCCAGTGCCCTTAAGCTGAGAAGTCTCAAGAGGAGTTCCAAGTTGATACTACAGACACCCACCATAATCTTGAATTAACCCTCAATTTGCTCTGACAATGACACTGCATTGGCTAACAGAGGCAGATGTGACTCTCAGATACATCTGGTAAACTCCTCAAGCACACATTTTCTTTTATTTGCAACAAGCCAAGACTGTCTCTATTTAGTAAATGGCAAAAAGAAATTATTTATGACAACCTTTATATGCACAGCTCACCAGAATGAAATCATTTAAACTGACAAAAAGAAAAGTGCAGATGACTGACTATGAGCAAGGCTGAAAATTACTCAGTGCAGAGAAAAGCTGAGGAGAGCATACAGTGGAAGCTACAAACTTTCTCCAAAATCCATCACTTGAGCTTACATATACCACTGTCAGCAACATGTACAGGACACTGCAAGCAGCTTCAGCTTACCTTTGGCACTGAACAGCAGACAGATAAGGCTGAAAATGCAAAAATTTAGACTGATAGTGCTAGAGTTGGGAAAGACAGCTGGAGCTTGTGCAGGGTTTATAGAAAAAACAAATACTTGCATTCTAGAGAGAATGAAGTTAAGCAGCATTGTACAGTTTTATTGGCCATTTTCACAGATTTTCCAACAAAGCTGTATAAAACCTTCTACAGACCTAGGAGTCAGGGGAAGCAGCCTCCTGCCCCATACACTCTTGGCCTCTATGAAAACAGATGTGTAGAAGCAGCCTTGAGAATGGTGGGGTTTTTTCCATCTCTGCATGTCTGCGACTTGTACTTAGGACCCACATCCTTTTGCAGGGAGTATTCCCTGTGAATGCGGACTGCTCACAGTAACCTTAAAAAGGAAAGTTCCAGTCCACATAATTGTCAGCTAGACCCATAGCAGTCAGCCATCACAGCAGTGCTCAGCTTGTCAGATGGAGAAGAAGCACACAGCATTTTCAGTAATACTCCTAATCTGAAATGTTAGAGATTATTCCTTTAAAGTAAGCAAAATGATACTCTCATAAGGAACGTCTTGCAGATTTTCTTTGCTTCTTGAAGACAAGCATATCATCATTTGAGGTGGTGCTATCCCCACCAGAGTTTAAAATCTCCATAAAATTAATTGGTGAGAGAGCAGAAGACATTAATCAGCAGTGGTTAAGCATTAGCAGAACAATTTCATGGCTATCCTGTGACTTTCTACTGAATGATACTGATTGAGCATAAATGCTGCACAAGGTCAGTTAGTGTTACGGTGTCTCTGCTCATTGCTGTTTATTTTACCCTCATTTATACACCTCATATACTCCATCAGTCAGTCAGGGTTTGTTTGAAAAAGTGATGGAAAAGAGTATTTTGAGTAGGCTTAGAAAACTCTACAGCCTAAGAAAGACTCCTTGGGCAGGGGGGAGCAGGCGTTTAAAGCCATGTCTTTTGATGAGTTTCCAGATTTCTGTAGCCTTGTGCAGGTCATTGCCCACATCTACAATGTGATCACCAATCCTTTGAATTCCTTATCCAAAGAGGAAGCATGCTCAGAAAACATCCTGCAGAAACAGATTAGTCTTGTACCCTCCAAAAGCGAACAGCTAACAGTTCAGCTCATCTTGGTGTATGTATTTCCAGGAAGACTGAATGTACCATTCAACAGAAGAAATACAATGACATGGGATTTTGAAAAATGAACAACTGGCCAGAGACCTGTTAACATCCATCAGTCTGTGGAAAAGGAAAGCTTTTGGAGATGTCCATCACTTTTCCCTCGTGTTAGAAGATGCTTCTCTCCAGAACAAAGGCAGTCATAACAGCCTTTTTTTTTTTTTTTTTTTGTAGGTCCATCACTCTACAGACATCTCTGTCATCCTCAGACCGTGACATACTTTGTAACAAAGCAATGTGAACTGCTAGAGAGCTGCAGGACTCTGCTTCCTTAAAGACCACTGCCTTATATTATGCACCAATACAGTATGTGCACTCCCCTTAACCATTCATTAAGACTGAAAAATGTCAGCAGAGTTTTACTGAAAAATGCCTTGTGGGATTTCACCACAACAGGGGAGGAATTAATTACAAACTTTTGTCTTTGAGTCAGAATTTCCCAATTTCAGAGAGACTGACATTAGCAAAGTCAGCCTGTTCCATTAACGCAAGTAGGTGTCAGCAAGCTGAGTTGGAAATCACAAGTACAGTAAGAAGAGTGGTTGATAACCTAATAACTCTTTCCTGACAGCACAGGTCAGGGCCTGAAAGAAGGCTTGAATGCACAGTTGTGTAAAACAGCTAAGATGCAACCCACCTAACATGGTGCCTGAGCTATTAACATGAATTGTGTAGTGGCAAATCTTCCCTCTCACTTGCCACACAGAGAGATGCGTCTGTCCTTCTCCTTGGGTACAGAGGAATGACCACTGGTGATTTGGGTACTTGACTGAAGTGGTTGTTATAAACCAAGTCATGCAGCAGGGGTCTGGGCCCGAGAGTCTGCACTGACCAGGTCCCAAGGACCAGCAGCTCCCACTGAGTTTACAGATGCTGTGCTCAGCT